GGGCTGGACTGCCCCCACTGGCAGCTGCTCTTCTCCTGATGCCCCACCATCTCTAAAATCTCTGTTCAAGAATTCCTACCCCACCTGACCCCAGGGCACACCACACCTCTCACCAGGTAATGGTGGTCTAATGACACGTTTACGGATCTGACCTCTGAGCTACCAGAGGGCAGGGCTGCACTCGTCCTCTCTGTGCCCCTCACCAATCTGTGCTGACTGAGCTGAACATCAAGTCATTCATTCTCCAGGCCTCTTCTCATCTAATATAAAGCCTCAGTTATATCATTCAGGGCGTTTCTAACCTTTAAGTGATCATGAACCAACTGATAAACACTTTTCAATCACCTCATATGTGTGTGAAAGCTGGACAAGAAAAGAAGAAGACAGAAGAAGAACTGATGAGAAGAACCCCTGCGAGGTGAATCGACCCAAGCTTGTGAGCTGATCTGCAGACCCCTGGGCCCCGTGTCCTGTCACCCCCAGGTCTACAAGGGACAAGCTGACCGTCACCATGCTTTCCCCTGCTACAACCCCAACTGGTATACTGCATTTCATCATTTCAAAAACCATTTATTTGTGATTAGATTACACATTTCTCCAAGTTTTTGTGTTTTTTTCCCATTACAAGACCTCCCTCTCACACAAGCTCATTCTACTTTTGTAGACTCTGCCTTATTCTACAAGACATCCATTTCCCAAACAGCAAATGCGGAATCTCCAGTGCATTAATGAGGCCTGGCACACAGAGAGAGCTCGAAAATATCTGTTGGATGCAGGGCTAAAATGGAAAATGGGAACTTCATTTAAAGAAATGATGTCACTGCAACATCTCAGCTACAGAGAGTAGGTTGAGCTGATATTCTCTAGTGATGTTAATAGTTCAAGAAGCTCTGGTGGCATAGTGGGTAAGGCATTTGGCTGCTAACCAGAAGGTGGCAGTTCAAACCCCCAAGCTGCTCCGTGGAAGGAAAGTGAGGCAGTCTACTTCCATGAAGATTTACAGCCTTGGAAATTCAAAGAGATTGCTATGAGTCGGCATCTATTCGGTGACAGTGGGTGTGGTTTTTGGTTGGTGGTGCAAACACTTAAGCTCTTGGCTCCTAAGTGAAAGGCTGGAAGTTCGAACCCACCTGGTGGCTCTGTGGGAGAAAAGATACAGCAATCTTTTAGATCACAGCCTAGGAAGCCCTATGGGGCAGTCCTCTGTCACACAGGGATGCCGTGAGTCAAAACCGACTCACCAGCACCTATCAACAACATTAACAGTCTGCCGAATGGGAAAATACCCATCAGAGAATGCCACTGTTTCAAAAGCAACCATCTTCCTCTAGAAAAATAACACTTACTGACTTTTTTTCAGATTATAAAATACCTCATTAATTACAGAAAACATGGCTGAAAAAAACACAAGGAAAGGAAAGAAACTGTAAAAGGTGACTGTGATCCAGCCATTCCAAACCCAAAACCCACTGCCGTGGACTCGATTCCAACTCATGGCAACCGTATAGGACAGAGTAGCTATAATCTCCACAGAAGCAAACTGCCTCATCTTTCTGTGCTCCGCCAAGTTGCATTATAGTAATAGAGGTTTTACTGCAACATAATTTCAGGCAGCATTCTTTAATAGCGACATGATAAATTAAAACACCACTAGTCCCCGGTGTTGGCAAGGCTTCCTAACCAGCGCGCACACTTCAGATGTAATTTGTATCTCGGCATCATTAGGGCTCTTGCCAAGAGGAGCTTTTAGAAATTAAGAGCACTTTCAAAGGAAAACAGTGTCTTCCACCCGGCCAGAGATAAAATGCCACACATCCCTAAAGTCGCTTTAGCGCCCTACAGGACAGAACAGAACTGCCCCCTAGGGTTTCCGAGGCTGTGATCTTTACGGAAGGAGACTGCCACATCTTCTTCCTGTGGAGCAGCCGGTGGATTTCAACCCCCAACCTCCTGTTTAGCAGTAAGTGCGTAACCACTGTGCCACCAGGGTTCTTGAACTTACTCAAGGGCAGCTGTAAATTCCAAAACAGCCTCTGCCAGGACACAGAGAACATTCTACCTCATAAACATGAACAGAAAAGAGCAGAGCTGACTGAGAGACGGGTGAATGTTCCCGCCATGTTCACTCATGCTGTCTCCGCTGCCCACCGAGCTGTTTGTCTCTTTATCTAAGGCAAGAGCACTTCCACAACACTAATTCCAGCTGTCACGTCTCTGGAACTCCAGGCTGGTATAATCTATGACCTGTCTGGACCCAGACATGGATATTTAAAAGACAGCTCAGATGGCATGGGCAACAGAAAACTCCTAAAATGACACCCCAAACTTGCCCCCACATTTTCTCCAGCTCAGTCAACTGTCCCACCCTCCAACAACTGCTGGAGCCCAACACCCAGGCGCTGTCCTTGGTTCCTGTTGTCCTTCCACCCCCACCCCTTCTAATCTAGCAGCAAGTTCTATTGGTGGACTTCCACGAGCACCCCTAAGGCACCCACCTCTCTCCAGGTGGGCTATCACTGACCAACCATCTGTGCTACCCACTCACCCACCTTGCTCAGATCTGGCCTTCCTCCACCACTGCCCTCTGTCACCTGTGCATCACACAGCTACACGGTGTCATTTACATTCACAACTCAGATCATGTCACCGCACTACTTAAACCCCTCCCCAATAAAGTAGTATATAAACACTTCCCATTAGTTAATATACGGGCTCAACACTGACATTAACTTAGTAGGTGTCCTGGTTACCCAGTGGTTAAGCACTCAGCCGCTAGAGGAAAGGTTGGCAGTTCAAATCCAGCAGCCACTCTGCAGGAGAAAGATGTGATAGTGTGCTTCTGTAAAGATTACAGCCTTGGAAAACGTCTGGGGCAGCGCTACTCTGTCCTCTAGGGGCTGTGAGTTAGGGTCGACTCAACAGCAGTGAATTTGCTTTTTGGAGCATTACGAGTATACCAGGAACTCTGGTAGCATAGTGCCTAAGGCACTTGACTGCTAACCAGAAGGCGGTTCAAACCCACCAGCCAATCCTCAGAAGGAAGGTTGGGCAATCTACTTTTGTAGTGATACTGCCTCGGAAACCCAAGGAGGGGTCGCTATAAGTCAGGGCTGACTCAACAGCACATAACAACAACACAGTACACTAGTTTTACAAGGACCACTACAGTCTGGCCTCAGCCTCCCTCTCTGACTCATCTTGTATCACTGCCAATCACAACTGTGGCTGTGTTAGGAGCTCTGCACTAATGGTCCCCTCTGCCCAGAACAGTCTCATCCCAAGCCTCTGTATACTGGGCTGCTTCTAACTCTTTGTTCTTGTTGTTAGGTGCACCACTCAGGACTGTGTGTACAACAGAACAAAGCGCTCCCCGGTCCTGCATCATCCTCACAGTGTGGCTGCTTGAGCCCACCGCTGCAGCCAGCGCGTCCACCCCTCTCCCTGAGGGTCCTCCTCTTTGTCACTGACCCACTGCTCACCAGCAGGACGTTCTCTTCCCTTCTCTGGGGTACTGGTCACTCCATTTTCATGTCTGAAGTCCATGGGACAAAGCCCCACCATCCTTGCTTCTGGCAGCATGTCTTCCAAGACAGCTTTGTTGGTTTTTCTGGCAGTCCATGGTGTACTTAACATTCTTTGTTGTTGTCTCACTATTCAGAAAAGCCTTTCTGCTTATGGTACAATTGCCAATCACAATGATACATTCACCCTGACCCAGCAATCCACTGGCAGGAACCCATCCCAGACAAACACTAGCAAAATATGAACAATGATGGCTGCACAGCACAAATGATGTCACCGCCTTACTCAACATATCCCAAATGCCGAACTGGCAAGTGCTGTGTTATCTATATTTCCACCACGATGACGGAAAAGTATCAAAGAGACAAGCAGACACTCCATGCCTCCTGATGGACGTATACAATTTCATTAAAAAAAAACAGTCTTGAAACACACACACACACACACACACAAACACACCTGCATCCAATCAATCTTCTCTCATTCTGACTATCAATCCACTGGAAATATAGGTGGCAGAAGCAAGCAGTCAGCCAAACCTAAAACACAGGGAACTTAACAGAATAAATGACTCTGTGTCTTCAACAGAATTAATCACATAGGGGAAAATATAGATGGGAAAAATGGTCCAAATTTCTTTAAATTAAGAGATAATCCAGTTACAATGCATGGGCCTCATATGGATCCTGACTCAAAACCACTATTAAAAAAGAAAGACAGAACTGGGAAGATATAAACCTTATGTTCTAGTAATGAAGGAATTATTGTCAATTTTATTTACGTGTAAGGCATTATTCTGGACAGGTTTTTAAAAACAGTATATATCGCAAACCAATATGCTCTGTAAGCTTTCACCCAAATCACAACAAAAAGAGCACGTGTCTTTAAGAGATACATACTGAAGTTGTCACGGATGAGTGCTACAATACTGGGGTTTCAAAACGCACCGGGTTAAGGGCAGAGCAGGTAGGAAAGGCCAGCTGATCTGCTTCCATAAAGACTGCAGCCCGTAAAACCCTATGGACGGCTCTACTCTAACACACAGGGTCACCGTGAGTCAGAACCCACCAGACAGCAACGGGTCTGGGACTGGTCATAAACTGGGTAATGAGAAGCCCAACAGACTGTTCTCTCCATTTGTGCATATGTTTGAAATTCTCCATAGTAATTTTGTTAAAAGCCAACTCTAACACTATTTGCCTCTTCAGTATAGCAGTGTCCTTGTGTACTTTTTATTTCCGTATTTTTGGTGACTGTCTTGTCTGTCTCCTACGCCAACATAAGCACTTTAAGAGCAAGAGCTCAGTGGTCTTCTCCACTATTTCCCAAATGCCCACAACAGTGCCTGGGTCTGAATGTCTATCTCTGAACAAATCAGTAAGGTACCTGAGACCTCAGTTACAGTTAAGTGACTGTAACTCCACTGTGGCCAATAGAACATCATGCTCAGCGTGCACACCTGAGCCAGCAGGACTTACCTTCACTTCGATGAAGTCAGGATTCCCGATGGCCACCAGCTTGGCGTAGGCGTGGAGCTCATCCACGTTCCATGCTTTCACGAGCGTCAGTCTGTAGACCGTTCGTTGTTGCTGAAACAAAGGAAAGCCCGACTTCATTTCTAACTTGGTGGAAGTCAGACAGTAACCAAATCCACAGCTGGCATGGCTGGGCAGAACCCAGCCTCACTTCTCTAAGGTGAAGTTGTATTTTGTACATAAATTTTTTTTTAAATGTACACAATGCCATAAGGTTTTCATAAGCCGTGTGAGGGCATGTAGTAACACAGTTCTTCTCTCTCCCACACAGTATCTAACACTGTGTTTGGCACTCAAAAATTTCTGGACAAATACACCCTGAATCAGACTTAGCGAAGAATAGCAAATGGACCGAACAGTTTTTGGCTTTGGGAAATTAATTCTAATAACCTTCAGGTGTACCAATCACTCAAGCTGTCGATGACAAGAATTTCTAATGACTCTTGTCCTCTTTCTGCTCTCTGATTATTCAAGGATCTCTTGGCATCTCTTGTCGGCAGAAGGGAGCCGTCATGAAGTGTCAATGCTGCCAGTTGTTTGTCATCTCACCAAGAGGACAGCTAGGTTTCTGCAAAGCAAGTAGACAACAGCTCCCTGGAAGCAGCTTATACCCTTGACTTTGCCAGTCCCCTCAGGAATTGACCCCAAACAAATGATGAGAAATGCAAAGTCTTTCAAGATCGTTTGAAAGCAAAAGCAAGATCCCCTCCGCTTGAGTGGGGGCAGAACCTGTGACCTCTAAACCACAGAACATGGCAAACATGAAGGCACGGACAGTCACGTGGACATGCTTACGTTACAGAAACTGTAGCACCTATCCTGCCAGAGTCTCAGTGTCTGTCTGTCTCTCCTCCTTCTGTAGTTGTGAGGAAATAAGCCACCACACCGGGAAGTCCCACAGTATCAAGGAATTGGAGGAAATCTTTAGGAGCTAAGGGCAGCCTCTAGGCAAGATCCAGCAAGACAACCATGCTGTCAGTCCTACAGCCACAAATCAAAACCAATCCCACTGCCATCATTTTGGTTCCTACTCACAGTGCCCCTAAAGGGCAGAATAAAACTGCCCCCACAGGGTTTCCAATGCTATGAATCTTTACAGAAGCAGACTGCCTCATCTTTCTTCATGGAGCAGCTGGTGGGTTTGAACTGCCAAACTTCTGGTTAGCAGCCGAATGTTTTACCCACTTTGCTACCAAAGCTCCTTCCCACAGCCACAAGGACGTGGACTCAACAATCTGAGAGACTTTGGAAGGGAACTCGGGAGGGAAGTTTCTGAGTTGAGACCCCAGCTCTGGTTGACACCTTGGCTGCAGCCTTGTGAGACCATCAGCAAGTGTCCAGACTTCTAACACAGAGACTGTGAGATAACCAATGTGGGTTGTTTACAGCTGCTGGATCTGTGCTAATATTATTGTTGTTGTTGTTATTAATATTATTATATAGCAAGAGCATGCCAAATTTCCAACAGAAAAAATGACTAACAAACGCATCATATGAAACAGTGTGAACATGTGGAAACAAATCCCAATTTCTCTAACTAGAGGGTTAGAGAAACAGACCTTGGTACAGTCACAGAAGACGCAGTCAGAGCTGAAGGACAGCCGAGAAAGCTCTCTGTGTGCTCCTGTGAGGGACTCTCCAGCACACACTTCTTTGGTGGTAGGTGCCGTCGAGTTGGCTCCGACTCAGCCTTGTTTCATTTACAATGGAACGAAACCATGCCCGGTTCTGTGCCACCCTCACAATCTCTGCTACACTTGAGCCCATCGTTGCAGCCACCAGGTCAATCCATCTCATCAAGAAGCCGGGTGGGGTTGGGGGAAGCAAATACATGACCGTGGAAGGAGAAAAGAGTGGTGGGGCAGGGCAGCTGGACTTCCATCCAGGTAGTAGACCGACGGGATCTTGTTTTATAACTTCAACTTTGGAATACGGTAATGTTTTATGTGATTTTTAAAAAGTTAATTATAAAGGAAAAACATGACCCTAAAAATCCTAAGCACACAACAAAAATTAATCCAAATGCATATCAAGTCGGTGGAGCATCGACACAGGGAAAGAAAACCTCTAGTGACTTAAAAATGCTTTGTGCATTTCCAAGTCCTCACCAACAACTGCGATAAGTCTTTCTTATTCTGGTCATGTGAGTGGGTGAAGGAGTCCCTGGGTGGCCCAAATGGGTGAGCACCAGACTATTAACTAAGAGGCTGGTGCTTAAAATCCATCCACAGGTGCCTCAGAAGGAGTTGGCGCTCTTCTGAAAGGCCACAACCACGAGCAGCCTGCAGAGTGGCTCCACTTTAAAACACCTGGCATCGCCACCAGTCCGTCTACACGACGGCAACAGACGGGAGGTGGAAAGCAGTATCTCTGCTGGTTTATGCCCAAGGCGTCTGACTGCTAACCAGAAGGCCAGCGGTTCAGACCCACCAGACACTCCTCGGAAGGAACACTGGGCAATCTACTTCAGTAAAGATACCACCTCAAAAACCCAAGGAGGGGTCGCTCACTATGAGTCAAATCAACTTGACGGCAGTGAGTTGGTTTTTTTTTCGGTAGTGACTAATGATGGGTCCCTGGGTGTGCAAACAGTGAAGTGCTCAACTACTGGCCAAAAGGTTGGTGGTTTGAACCCACCTAGAAGCACATCAGAAGACAGCCCTGGCCATCTCCTTCCAAAAGGCCTTGGAAACCCTATGGGGAAGTTCTACTCTGCCTACAGGGAGTCAGGATCAACTCCATAGCAACTAACAACAACAACGTTGAGCATTTTTTCACACGCTTACTGGCATTTAAATGTCTATTTAAACTCCTGCCCATTTCTAAACTGGGCTATTTGCCTTCTAATTATTAAGTTGTAAGAGTCTTTGTATATTCTGCATTTAAATCCTGAATCAGATATATGATCTGCAAATTCTCTCCTTTCTGTAGGTTGTCTTTTCACTTTCTTGATGCTGTCTTTTGAAGCCAATCATTTTAAATTTTGTGGAAGTGAAATCAAACTTTTCTTTTCCTTTATAGTTTGGACTTTTGGTATCACACAGATTTACTCCTATGCATTCTTCTAAGTGTTTTGTCCTTTTAGCCATTATATTTGGGTCTGTGACCCGTTTTGAGTTACTTTTCACTTGTGGTGTAAGGTAGGTAGGGTGCAATGTAGTAAATTACTTAGTGTGGCTTTTCTACCCTTAAGTCTTTGTAAACTCCCAAGGTGGGATTTTCTATGAGCAACTGAGGAGCTCCTGATTGCTGAAGCTATCCACCTGGGTTATTTCTGTTGGGCATGGCACAATACAATGTTC